GAGCCTCGAAAGGAATAAATATCGTGTTTTGCCTGGGGAGGGTGGAGGACTCTGGTGCTCAGCACCAGCTCGCAGATGCTGAGGGCACGAGCTGGAGCAGCAGCTGTTGCCCAGGACCCCTTACACTTGGTGGGTGCTCTTGGTTTTGGGCTCGGTGCTCCGGGACCCCAGCCTGATCCGAATCTCGGAGCGGTGCTTCTCGCTCTTCTCCGGGCTCGTCTGCAGAAAACAGAGCGGGAAGGAAAGAGAGGAAAAGTGCTTGGCAAGGAAGCGTGTCTGCGTGAAACGACGCTGAGCTCTCCGGCAGGTGTCCAGACGTACCCACCCGAAATCTTGTGGGTATCAGAACTAACGTGCTGCTACCCCCTCCCTTCCCAACCATCCATAGGGTATTGCATCCCCCAACCCAGTTTGGGGATGCTTTTAGGGGAGGCACTGCCTTGGGAGGCTCCTCAGCAGTCCCAGACCAACCAGTGCGAGGCCCTGGAGCACAGACACCCCATCCCGTCCCCCGTCCCCAGCTGAAGTACCTGTGGGGACAGGGGCATCTGGCCGGGCAGCTCTGCCACCGCTCTGTGCCTGCAAACATGGAGCACGGGGTCAAAATGGCAATGGCATCCTCTTCACTGCATCCATCCCCATCCCAGCCCCAGAGGCAGCTGGAGCAGGACAGCAAAACCCCCAAGGATCAGTCCTGGTTGGGTCCTTCTGGGTGAAGGATGTGCCCGGCACTGCCCTCCAGGGACACATTCCATGCGTGGTGCTGATAGTCCTGGCTTTTTTTCTGATGCTTTTCACACCAAACCACGATTAATCTGCACTGTGGAGACCACGATGGCTGAGACCCATCAAACTCATTCACCGTCCACTGCAACCCCCAGGAGGAAACCATGCAGGTGAAGAGGGAGATGCTGGTCAGCCAGCTACTCACCGGGGCTCCTCCATGTGCTCCCAAGCCACTGTGGCCCTCATGGTTCGCAGGCGCCCTTGGGTCTGCTGGAGCTGCTGGTGGAGGTGCTGCAGGTGGTCCTCCAGCACCCGGTTGCTCTCCTGCAACTGCCTGTTTTCGGTGCTGGTGGCTTGCTGCGTGCTGCGGAGGCTGCGGCACCGCGTCTCCAGCTATGGGACAGCAACCAGGACCCCCGTGAGACCCGTGCCAAAGAATGATGGATAACCATCTCCTCTAGACCTGAAGCTGAATTTCCACCCCATTGGGGTGGTGGGTGGGAAACTCAATTTGGATGCTCTGGGGATGGAGGGGAGCAGGGGGGTGGGGGTGGCAAAGGAGAGGTCCATCAAGGGCTGGCAGAGACAGACCAGGATCAGCTGTACAACACCATGTTGCTGCTACGGGCACAGCCCAGAAACCACATACACACGATGGGGGACCAGTTCACCTCCATCTGTGCCATGACCAAGCGTTGCACCTCCTTCTCACTGGCATCCAGTGCTTGCTGCAGCTCCACGTCGTGCTGGTGGCTCCGGGCCATGCTCTGGGATGGCAACAAGGACCTTAGCACCCGCTCACCCATCTGGGAGCTGCCATGGGGGTTTGCTGGGTCCCCCCCGGGGTGAGCTGCAAGGGGAGAGGAGCAGCCGGTGACCCACCTCCTGCTGCAGCCGCTGCTGTTCCTGCTGGATCTGCTGCTCCAGGGCCTCGCAGAGCTGCTGCACCTCCTTGTCATGCTCAGCCACACGCCTGCCGGGGACAGCAAGGCCAGGGGGGTGGTCAGACCCTGCTGCAGTGGGTGCAGGTCCCTGGGACCCCACATGGCCCACAGGACCTGGGGGCTGCAGCCGGGTTTGCCCGGAGCAGTTCACCCAGCAAGGACGTGTCCAGCAGTTTGAGTCCAGCACTTTTGCCATCCCGTGCGTGACTGTAGAGGGAGCCCGACCCCAAACATGAAACCCCTGCTCCAGCCGCCCATGGAGGTGCTGAAAGCACCCAGGTTTCCTCCTCCTTGGGTGCGTCTCCACAGCTGGGATGAACAGGAGGCCCCGTCCTTGTTCTCGTCCTTCCCATCCTGTCCCTCTCCACCGCCCTGGGGTGACTCACTTGTTCAGGGTCACCTCCAAAGCTGCCTTCTTGCTCCTGGCTTCTTGGATGCGATGCCTCATCTTGGCCAGAAAGTCCTCCAGGTTGCCCAGGAGCTGGGGTTCATCTTGCCGGAGCTTCACCCAGAGCTGCCAGATCTCCTGTCTGCAGGGAGAGGGGTGTTTTGTGATGAGCACCCCTCCAGAACCCCCCAAAGCCGGGCTGCTTATGGGGTCCCAGGTCATCTGGCTCACACCATTCAGGACATGTGGTCCTGGGGGACAGATGAGCATTGGGGTGACCGTGATCCTACTCCTGTGCTTGGGGCAAAGGCACCTCCAAGCCCTTTCTGGGCTCGCTGCCTGCATGGAGACCTCCTGCCCCAAGCCTTTCCCCCTGGGGCAGCTCTACCTTGTCCTGCGGGACACCCATGGGTGTTGAACAGGGCGGCTTACTCTGAAGAGATGTTATCCGTGCCCAGCTGATCCATAAAGGCAGCAAAGTGTCTCTGCTCCTCACTGTCCACCCCTTCCAACGCTGGGCTGGGGAGGACCAAGCGGACCCTCCGGGATGCCGTTTTCCGCCGGCGATGGTCTCTGGCAGCTTTTTGGGAGCTCAGGAACTGTCCTGCCGACAGACACCCCAAACCCTCAGTGCCTGGTCGGGGCAACGGCGAAGCCCAAACCCTGACGCTTCCCATCCCAGCCATGGCTCACTTTGATGCGATAGAACCCCTCACCAGGTGAGCCGTGGGCTGAGACCTGGGCTGGGGACAGTTTCTGGGCCATCACGTGCCACCCAGCAAGGGGAGCGTTTCAGGTCCCCCCAGAGAAGGGCCAGAGCCACATCCAGGACCAGCCTGGGCTGCTCCGACACAGCGTGTTGGCACTTACCGAGCTCAGCAGTGAACTCCTTGGTGCTTAACCTCCCGGTGCCCGCAGCATCCAGCCCATCAAAGACGAGCTCCAGCTCCTCTGTGCTGCACGGGAAATCCTCCTCCTCCTGCAATTTCTAAGAACAAAGCAAATCAAGAGAAAATCCTACCCATCATCCAGTCTCCAGCCACCCCGGTGCCATTTGACCCGAGAAGATGTCCCCATCCCTTACCTGCATGTCCGAGCGGGTGATGAACCCCGCCTGGTCCCGCTCCCTGAAGAAGTCCTCCACCCTCTGCACTGTTTCAGATGCCCACGACGGCT